ATCTCACATGGAAGGGCTGGCCAGGGATGCTGCTCTCTCCTGCCAACCTCCCCTGAGATGCTCCCCAAAGCTCCCTGACAGCCTGTTCCTCCTTGGCCTCCTATCTCTTCTTGCCTCCAGCAGTCTGACACCAAAACCAGGGAAAGGCTGGGTAAACATCACTCTGGCTGAGGAATCCACCTTGGGGAGGAAAGGGGGATACCTTTCCCCTTTCTTCCTGGAAAACAACCATATTTGACTGACATTTTACTGAAGACTTGCAAGGCCCAAGGGTGGCTTATGGAGCAGGGAGCTGCCAAACAGAAAGAGGTCCCAGACAGTGGGTATCCTGAGGCTGCCAGAGGACCTGAGCCAATCACTCAGAGTTGGCAGGCTCTAGGACCCCTGTCCCAGGCCTTCAACTTAGTTGAAGACCTGGAGGGTTCTTATTTGCTTTCTTGCCTGCCTGTGACTTCTCAGCTACCCCAGGCCCCTATGTGCAGTGTCTCATGTAACCCCAGGCCAGGGGTCCCTATGAAGCCATTTGATATAAGCAATAGTGATATTTTTATTCAGTGTCCATATCTGAGGGTGTCTGTCAAGATGTTTAGCTGCAGTGGGTGCTAAAGGAATTAGAAAGGGACAATGATGTCTGTGACTACAACCTAAGATTGATTGTGTGGGGTGAGAGGCAGATGTCTCTCCTACTGGAGGATCAGAGAAGGCTTCCTGAAAGAAGAGTCAGCATGTGTGGTCTTCAGGAATGGTTAGGACTGGGGTGTGTGCAAATAGGAAGGGCTGAACAGGCAGTCTGAGCAGAGGAAGCAGGGTTGCTGAAGAGAGGGAGTTAATCATTTGGGCTAAAATGGAGGGAATGCAGAGGAGGTCATGTTCAGTAAGTCCAGCTCTCCGATCTCAGGATATGAATTTTTTTAATGTATTCTGAGGACAAGGTGGAGCGAGCAAAGGTTTCAGGACACCACTCCCACTCCAGCTGATGGGGTGCAAGTCACACCGACCACAAGTCAAAAAAGCAAAGCAATAGGCTAGGATTCCCCTGAGCAGTGTTCACCAGGCTATAAAGATGAAATGCAGATCAGCTGGGTTAAATTTCACAATTTCACAACCAGTCACCTGATTGATATTCTGTTATCATCCAATCAACAGATTTTCATATACCACTATCTTAGTTCACACAAGTATCATCAATATTCTAATAATGGCAATCACCCCCTTTCACTCCACCAACACCAATCACAATATCCACACCATCACCAGCAGATCCAAATTGAGCCCAGTGACCATGAATCTAAAGACTCAGTACCACCACTAATATCATCCTTTTCAGATGTAGTAGGTCCATCATCAATAACAACAACATAAACTGGACCCCACCAAGGGCCACCACAACAGGGCAAGGACAAAGGGTGGTCACACTCCTCTTCAATGGTGCCCAGGTAGAAGCAAGAGTCAAGCTATGTAAAAAGATATAGTCCCATGCAGTTGTGAACATTTGAGTCTAGTTTAGTTTAGTTTGATTTTTTGCTTAGATATTTAGAGTAGGCTATACCTCCTTGGGGCTGGAGGTATAGCTTTTGGGTAGAGCATGTGCTTAGCAATGCATGAGGTTCAGGGTTCAATCTCTAATGCCAAAAACTAAAAAAAAATAATATATAAAGTGAATTATGACCAAGGTAGGAGGCATCTGTAAAATCCTAGACCAGCTTGAGGTGGTCTCACAGGCAGTTTTTAGGACTAAAGCATGTAAGTTTTCTGCAGTGCTTGCTCTCTGATGCCTTCCTTTTGGGATTTCAGAACTTCATTCAGGAACTGAGCAGGACCAAGAACCCAAGATCCTTTAAAATGTTCTTTGTTGCCTCCTCTCCCTTCCCTAGGCCCTGGCTGCTTGGTGTCTGCAAACAATGGTCCTAGATAGGATGCACCTCAGGAAGAAGCTCCAAGCAGCAGGCTCATGCTCATGCCCCCATATCCCTGGTAGTGACCTTGGTCCTTTCCTCGGCAGAAATGAGATGGTATTAGTGGTGGTGCTGGGTCTTGAGGTTCATGGTTACTGGACTCAATTTGGATCTGTTGGTTTCGGGGGGAGGGGGTTGTGGTTGTTTTTGGTGGTACAAAAGAAGGTGACTGCCATTATTGGGATATTGATCATACCTTAGTTAACTCATGTTAACTAAGATAATGGTGTATGAAAATCTCTGTTGATTGGATGATGACATAATATCAATCAGGTTGCTGGTTGTGAAATTGTTCACACTGTCACCCAGCTGATCTGCATTTCATCTTTTAGCCTTGTGACTACCACTCAGGGGAGTCCTGACCTTGTTGCTTTGCAGCATGGCCAGGGTCCAGGTTGACATTATAGTCTATGTGAATGATGCCTCATCAGCTGATCAATGATGAGTTTTCATAGGGTCCACATTCAGTTCCAACTTTATCCCCTACAACACAGGGTTCATTTGGAGCTATGGTTGGGGAGAGCTGCAGGTAAAGTGGTCTAACAGCAAATTGGAACAAAGGGGATAGGCAAATCCAGCTTTTTATTTGCCCATGCTGGAAATTTTCCTTGTTCTTATCCTATGCGGTGTCCTCAATTCCCAGAAGTTCATTGGAAGTGTGGGGTGGGGCAAATCAAGGAGTCTCAGGTCCTATGTCAGCTCTGACCTTCCCAACCTGTTCATCCTGTAAGGTCAGACCGAGCAACCAGCTCAGCTACATGACTTCAAAGCCTGCAGCTTCTTCTCTGAGGCAGTCACATAACATGCATGCTTCCAGAAGCAAGATTTTTCACAGAGATTGGGCAAATGGCCTCACTAAAGGGCCAGGGGCAGGCACTGCTACAGGCCTGCCTGGGGAAGGCCCCAGGCAGACTATGGCCAATGCCCTTGCCCATCCCAGATACCTTCCATGAAGCTTTTGAGAAAAATGACTCCTTCTCATGGGGCAGTCAACCCACAACTTTGCTGCTTCTCCATTTCTGTGCCTCCCTGGTCTTTTCACTCTGTTTCTTTCTCTTTTCTTTCATATACCTCACTAGATGGAGTAGAGTAATTGGGTGATGCTTTGGTAAAGAGCATCGGGCCTTCTTGCATTCTTAGCTAGGGCAAACTTCTCTAGCACTTTGCTACTCCAAGTGTGGTCCATTCTAGACCTGCTCAACCAGAAGCTGCATTTTAACAAAATCCCCCAGGTGATTCATATGCATTTAAAGTTTGAGAAATATAGTGATTAGGGCTCAAGCCCTTCTCTGCCACTTGAGAACTGTGTGATGTTTTATCAGAGATACAATCTCTCCAGATTTCAGACTCCTCATCTATAAATTGACACTCACCAAACCCATCATACTTGATGATGATTGAAAGGATAAAACAAATAATGGGATAAAGCTTATGCTATGGGAAGAACTCAGTAGAGCATCGTACTCTCATTCCAATTATTACCAATAATAATAGTGCCTTTTATTGTAGAAAGATTCCACTCGGCTGATTACAAGAAGAGTTTTCTTTTCTTCCTCCATGAGGTTCTGCTTAAGTTTTCAAATCAAAATGACCCTCAATCGTTTTGTCCCTAAGGGTAAGCTTCAGAGCCCTGAGCAGTTAAATACTCTGTTTTCATTTCCTCATCTACTAAATAGAGTTGATCAGAGGGGTGTTATGAGGAATTAAAGACATAATGCTTGACACATAGTAGGTCAATCAACAAGTAACATGGGGGGTGGAGTTATTCCCACTTATAAGATTTGCATTTTTTTTTGTCACTGTTGTTAAAAATACAAATGCCAATCAAAGAACAAAGAATGAGCTGGGTGTATTTGCACACAACTGTAGTTCCTGCTATCTGTGAGGCTGAGGCAGGAGAATCATTTGAGCCCAACCGTTCTAGACAGGTCTGGGCAACACACTGAGACCCTGTCTCAAAAAAAAATTTTTTTTCTTTTCTTTCCTGTAATTTAATTTTTATTCTTCACCTCATTTCACAGGTAGCAGAAATCTAATGCCGTAAACCCAGGCTCAGACTGTTCTTGTCTTCCTGGTGTGGTTCTGGAAAAGAGTTATTTACAAGATGCCCAGGCATTCAGAGTTGAGACATCTGGGCATCTGGTCTACCTGTCCTGGCTGAAGAAAATTCCCATTCTATGTGGCCACAAAGGTCCGCACTGGCAGAGTGGTCACCTCTCTTGTTCCAAATTATAAGGCCTTTCAGATCTGCTTTATAACTCAGGTGCTCAGGCCTAGGCCCATGTCTTTCTTAGGTGTGTGGGAAATCTACTTAAGTATCTAGATTACACAGTGGCATGAAGATCTTTGAGCTTTCTGGTGTCTACCTGTCTCCTTACCACAAGTTCTGCCACTCCCTAAAAGGGCACAGTTACCTCCATCTTTGAATCCACTTTATCCACTTCTGGTCCAGATAACCTTGATCTGCCCAGCATGATACCTTTTATCCATTTTGCAAATGTATTGTCAGTGCCCTGAATCTTTCAGAGCCTGAAGAACAGTTTCTCACAACTCTAGAGCTTAAGGCCTTGACACCCACATATCTTACTTCTGCTTTTTTTTTTTTTTTTGTGTGTGTGTGTGTGTGTATCATCCCTCTCTGAAGGTAATGCATGCCCCTGACTAAATGATGAACTAAAGGGAAAGGAAAACAATAAGGAAGAAGAAACTTGTTGATAATCAAATCTACTTTTCCACTACATTGTGTTTTGCTGAGAAAGAAAGTTAGGAAGCACAAAAACTTGGGGGGAGTTTTTTCCTCCAGGATTGAGAATGTTTTTGATGGTACCAGGCCCTACCATGGTCTGAGCATCTCCTCCCAGGATCCCAGAGGAGCTCTTTCCCTACACCTGGAAGATGCACCCTCTGGAGGATCCTGCTCTATTTGCAGTACTGATGTCGCTTTCTACCCACCTGTTGCAGCTGTACCCACCTGCCCCATGTAGAGCCCCCCCCAGGGTTTGGGGCCCCCTTGACTTGTTATCTTTTTTGGTCCCACCTCATCAGCACCCCTATTGAGCATGCTCCAGTGTGCACCAGCCAGGCCTCCACCCCGCTGCTGCCCGCTTCTGCCCAGCCGCCTGCTGCCGCCTCTCCTAGGGCAGCCTCGCCACCCCTGGCCACAGCTACTGCCCATGCTGCCACCGCCTCTGCTGCAGCCCCTACCTCGATCCCTGCGGACAGTCCAAGGTAACCAGCCTACAGGTGTGGCCCTGACGAAGAGAAAGGGCAGAAGGAAAGGCCCCACCCTGGATACATCTGTGGGCATTGGGATCCATGGTGTTTAGGGCCCTGGGGTCTTCCAAGAAAGCCAACACTGTATGGTACAGAGTATGAAGGGGGAAGCTGGGGGGCTTTTCAGGGGACTGCTCCACCTGTGGCTAAGAAGAGAGGCAGGAACATTGCCCTGCCATCCCGGAACTCATCTCTAGTCACAAAGGTAAAAAGTCTCACGCACCAACAAAACTGTGCACACACAGAGATGACGAAGTGAACTGTATAAATGGTCCTTGTTGCTGGGTAGTGGCACATGCCTGTAATCCCAGTAACTCAGGAGGCTGGGGTATAAGAATCACAAATTTAAGGCCAAGGTCAAGTGACTAGTGAGGCCCTACGCAACTTAGTCAGACCCTGTCTCAAAATAAAAAACAAAGTGCTGGGGATGTGGCTCAGTGGTAAAGCACCTCTGGGTTTAATCCTCAGTACAAAAAAAAAAAAAAAAAGTCCTGTTCCTGGAACTCAGCTAATGAAGAATGAAAGTTGTTCCAAAGGGCTGGGGAGATTAAGGAAGCTCCCTGGAGGAAGGAACATTGAGCTGGGTACAGAAAACAAGTCAGATTTGACCAAATACTTAAGCTGCTACTTGCCCACATCCCCTCCCCTCTCTTCTCTTGATAGAGAAGCATGTTAACTTCAGAGACACCTGAAGTATGTAGTAGGACTTAAATTTCTGCTCCACTACCTTCTGTCTGTAACCTTGAGAAAGTGACTGAACTTCTCTGAACTTCATTATCCTCATCTGTAAAGATGTTTAAAATAAGCAGAACATAGTGGTGCACACCTGTAATCCCAGTGACTGGGGAGGATGAGGCAGGAGGATCATAAGTTTGATTACAGTCATCTTAGTGACACCCTCAGCAACTTAGCAAGAACTTGTCTCAAAAACATTAGAAGAAAAGGGCTGGAATGTGGCTCAGTTAAACATCCCCCATACGCACGCGCGCGCGTGCACACACATACACACACCCCAGGTTCATTCCCTAGTACAAAAAAAAAAAAAAGTTCAAAACAACACATGTATTTATGGGGTCGTGATGGAAAAAGTGTATATGAAACACCTAGCACATAAAAAGGATACAAGTACTTCAAGTTCCTCCACCCCAACCTGTCCTCCTGGATACCCAGCAAGCAGAAACCAAAGCAGGGGGTTTCAGGGAGGCAGAAGAGGTGGGATGGACAAGTTACTCTGGAGCCAACAGTGAGTGCAACAGCAGGGGTTAGCCCAGCTCTCTTTTGGAACTTCCTGGAGCTGTGCAGTTGTGTTTGGAGTTAAGACCCCAGCTCTCCTAGTTTTCCATGTGCCCCTGCCCCAGGATTTTGCTGAGGAGTACATGCCTCCCTGGGTCAGAGTGTAAAAGTCCATGGTGCAGCCTTAGGATGTGAAGTGATCCACAGGCCTGTCTGCTGTCCCTACCCCAGGCTTCACAATACCAAGCCCAGCTTTTTCCCAGCCTGTCTCAAGCCTTAGGGGTGAGCCTGGGCCAGGGCTTCTGGGGTGGTTTTATCTCAGTTTCCTGGGGAATGGTTAGCAACCCACTTCCCCTCTCCAAGCCAGAATTTCTTTGCATAAAGGCCTTGCTACCTACACAAAGAAATTTTGAAGTAAGAAATATCCCTGTTGTTGAGTGGGAAGAAGCCACCGAATTTGGATGGAGGAGTACTAGATACTAGAGCCCAGGGGCAATCCAGTTTTATATCCTGCCCCTGCCAAAGGGCAAGCTTTAGCACCAGGTTCCAGGCCTCTGTGTCCCAGACTCGCCCACCACAGAGCACCTGAAACCCTTGGGACACCCAAAGCAGGGTGAATCCTTCCTTTCTTTTGTCTTGCCAGGAGAGCTAGGACCTGGGTAGAATTTGTAAAGCAGGGCATTGGTCTAGAGCAGAAAGGTCATGGTGTTATATTCTGAGCCCAGTTAACTTCCCTCCTTGCACGTGGACTAGAAGAAGCTAGAACTAGAAGAAGCCCTTTCATCAGAGCCTGGCTTTGGAGTTCTCAGCTTCTGTTTCCTCTATCCACCCCAGTCCCTGACATAGAACCTGTAGCTCCTGGGATGCTGGCAAAGTGTCCACCACTGTGGGAGAGCCTGGTTCATAACCACTGACCTGTGGCCTTGTCCAACCACAGTGAGCTGAGAACTCCTTTAAAACCATCTCTTCCTCTTGCAGATGAGGCCCCTACTTTGCTGGTCTTGGCACAGAGATCTGTTCACAGAAGGGTAGGTAGGCCAGGGAAAGGAGACAATGGCCTCAATCTATCAGAAACTTGGCATGGTGACAGGGAAATTGTGAATAGCCCCCAAGTCTGGGATGCTGGCTCTCTGAGCATCCTTTTACATTTGCCTTGTCTGGGGGCAGCCCCACAGGTTCCCCTGGATCTACTAAGGAGCTTGGTAGCAGGTTCTTATCCTAGGGCACTCCCTCATCTTACAATTCTGCCAAGCAAGAATGGGTAAGCCCTGGGCCCAAGGGGAACAGATGGAAGGAATGCAGGAAGCTATAAGCTGGGGTGGGAGATATACTTCCAGGGTCTCTCTTCTCCAGCACCCTCACCAAAGACCAATTGGCAATGGGTGTGTTCACCTGTCCCCTTTAGGATCTGTAAGACGCATGCAGAGAGCAAGGTGTTCATTAATTTTAAATGAAGAAAAAGTTCTTAACAAACAAATGAAGCTGGGAACCATTGGATCAAAGTTCAACAAGCACTAAACTCTGGCAGTTCTCAAAGTCTTCAACTCCTCAAGAGGAGAGGACAAGAACATCTGTTTCTGAGAGCAGTGAACTAGGACACATTTTTTGGTTCCACAGCTCCTGGGCTGCATGTGGGAAGAGGCCGCTCTAGGCCTACTGACAGCTAACCCAGTGGGAGGAGACAACAGGAATTCTGTATGGAAATGGAATGTTTGCTGGGGGGATTTGCTGGGGGCCTCTTAGAGCACTTGCTGGAGCATTATTGCTTAAAAAACCTGAGACTATTGCTCCCTGCAGCAAAAACGGAAAAGAGTAAAAGAGGAGGCCAGGTGGTCAGAGGACCCAGGGAGGTGAAGGTTTTCCAAGTGTCCTCTGGTCTGGTTGATGGCTTTCTCCCTCTCTCCAAAGACAATAGCACTAGCTACAGGGAGCAGTTTTCTCCCCTTTAAGATTCCCCTGGCTTTTCTTTCACAGCCTCTGGCAGACATCTCTATCGGTTTTCCTCCTCATAGAGGATCCTAAAGGTTAAGGAACCAACCTGCAATGGCTGCAGGCCCCAGGACCCAGATGGGACTGTCCTTCTTGCTATAACACTTCCCCTCTTGGTTCCAGACCCCAGGCCTCTACCTGCAGCCCTGCAGCAGCTACCTCTCCAGCACCAACTGCCCATACGAGCTACAGTGAGGGTCCAGCTGCCCCTGCACCCAAGCCCCGAGTTGTCACCACTGCCAGCATCCGGCCTTCTGTCTACCAACCAGGTGAGAGACAGAGTGGGAGGGGAGGTTGTCCAGCTTGGACAARGACTCAAGGAATCAGAAGTGCAAAGACCAACCCTTGCTCAAAGGACCTAAGGGTTCTTCTCAGGTCRAAGGGATGTCCCTTGTTCCCTGGTGTATAGGATGTGCTGCCAGCATCCAGGCTTTGAGTTTAGTCACCATCCCCTCCTTCCTGTTGGATTCAGACTCTGAACTCCAGGAGGGCAGGGAAGAAGGATTTTTCTCCCTTACATGCCCCTGAGTTAGGCAGGGCACAGTGGAAATGCTCAGTAATGGCATAGAAAATGATGGAACAAATAAATTCACATACACTGGAAAGGGAAGACACAAGCAGTGGGCAACAAAGAGGCTGTGAGCTTGTATTCTATACTTTAGCAGCTGTGTACACAGTGCAATGGGTCCCAGGTGTTCCTAGAGTGATCCCTTGGTGCCCATTCCACAGATGGGTGAGACAGAATTTTAGGTGAGTACACACTGTCCTCTTAAAACATTATGTTTTCAACATTTATCTTTATACTCATCTTGCATTTATGAAAAGCAGTAATGATTTTGCATTTATAATAACAATGCAAAAAAAGAAGGAACTTGAAACTTGAAAAAAAACAATGCAAACATTTCTCTCTCCTCAAAATTACACATGTATGATTTTTTTGATAGACTTTTTCTTAGTTTTAGGTTTATTGAAAAATTGAGAGGAAGGTACTGAGATTTCTACATTACCACCTGCCCCAACACATGGGCAGCTTCCCCCTTAATGTGGGTGGGTCTCCGCTACCTGACACTCACACCATTTTTGCACATGGCAAATTGATGAAGGGAAAAAATTAAGGACTTGTTTTGGAAAGAATGAGGTAGGTCATTCTGAAGCAGAGGGAAGGAAGACAGAGAACGTTTTCTATGTGTCATAAAAGAGTGTGAATTGACAGAGTGAATTGACAAAGCAGCCATGGGGTAAAGAAGAGTACCCACAGTCTAGACTCAGAAGTACATCCCAGTAAGGCACAAGAGACCCCATCCCAGTGAATTTTTCTCTGAGGCTGGAGCATAAAGGAGGTAAGGCTGGGAGGAAAGCAAGGTCTTGCTTGGAACAGCTTGAACTTGGTGCGTGGGGCAGAGATGGCAGGCTCAGCTCTCTGTTAAAACAGAGCTTCCTCAGACAGCAGTGTTGGGTATGGGCGTGGACGCGCTTTAGCATCCTACTCCAGGGCTGCTACTGCGAGCAAACTACTTCCTCTCTCAGGCCTAAACTTTTTCATTTGATAATTGGTAGTGACACTAGTACACCTCGTGTTTTAGGAATGAAATGCCGCCCCTCGCACGGTGCCTGGCAGAGGGACAGAAAACACCTAAGTTAAAACATCACTGGATGAAGGGACATTTTAGACTGGGCTGAAAGGGAGAAAAATCTCGGAGTGGGCTGRAGTGGCTGACCCTCAGCAGGTTGGRAACCATGGCGGGAACTTGGAAAGGGGTTTGGATGGGAATSGGCGGGTGGAGGTGAGGCCCTGCGCTGGTGCAAGGAGTGCATTTCCGTCGGGCGCTGGGCAGGCTCTTCTGGCACCTTCCGGAGCGGCCCCGCGCGGTAGCTCCCCAGTCCCGGCCGCTGGCTGTACCCCGCAGTCCCACCAGGGGGCGGCCCGGCTCCGGGAGCGAGCACGGCGGGCCCGCCCCGTGTCCCTCTGCAGCGCCCTCCCGGGCTGGGGCCCAGGCAAGCTAGACGTGCTGGAGCCGCGGGCCTCCGCGCCGTTTCTAGGYGGTGCAGACGTTAACTCATTCCTGCCTGGAGGGGAGAAGACGGCCTTCTTCCACCTCCCTCTCCTGGGGAGGCCCGGCCGCCGAGAGGGTTCCGGGGGCGGCTGGCAGGCGGCCCAAGGCGAAGCCGGGAGTGTGTGCCCGCGCGGCCTGGAGCGCGCGGCCGAGTCCCCGCCGTAGCTCCCCGCGGAGCCTCCTCCCGGCCGAGGGCGGCGTTCGCAGCCCGGATCTTATCGCTGGCGCCGAGGCTCGGCGTCCGCTCCCAAGAACACCTGGGGACTGGGAGGGGCGGCGGCGGCGCGGGAACCGGGCCGGCCTCGCCGTGGGCGAATGTTACCGCGGGCCAGGGGACGGCCACAGGGGCCCGCGGGCCGGGCGGCAACCGGTCGCTTGCGGAGAGCCGGKCCCGGCCCGGAGTGACTCAGAAAACACCTTGTTTAATTACATAGTCCCCAGGCCGCCGAGTGCGATAGGGGCCTTTTGAACTTGCCAATTAGAGATGAAATATCACCTTCTAATTTGGACGGGCTTAATTCCCTCACGCAAAAATAGCAACAGCCCCGGGGTTCCGAGTTGGGATTTGGAGTCCCTCCTGGCATGTCGGGGGTGGCGAGGCGAGGCAGGCCACGAGGAACCCCCTCGTCCCAGCGAATAGGGGACCCGATGGGGGARGGGAGCTGATGAGCCAAGCCACCACCGAGAGGAAGGGCCCTTCCCTGGTTCAGTGCAGCCTTGGTGAAGGAAGTAGGTCTCGATTTTAGCCTCCCTCGGTTGTAAGGTTTTTAGAAAGAAGGGGGGGGGGCGGTTCTGGGAATCTGGAAGGCCTTGCCGTGCGAGGAAGAGAATGTCTCCGCCAGGCACWCGGAATAGGGTTAGAATTGCTGAAGGGAGGGCTGGACTTAACTTGGAAAGGGTGTTCTAAAGCATGTTTTGCCTTGTAGGGAGTGGTTAAGCGGGAATCTGCAGAGGGGTAGGGCTGCCAGAGCTCCAGTTTCAGCTAGGCAGCTCGCTAGTTGGATGACCTCTAGGTCTTCACTTAAGTTCTCCAAGCCTCAATTCCTCATCTGTAAAATGGACATGCAAATACTATCTGCTTCTTGCGTTGCATAAGGCATTACATGAAATAACATACGCAAAGGGCTTGGCATGTGGAAGCCATCAGTATTTAGTAACCAGTATTTTTGATTAGGACAGCACCATACAAGAGGAAGAAATTTTTTGGTAAGCATATATCTATATCTACATCTATATGGATACCTATATCTATATAGGTATTTTTTTTTCAAGTAAAAGAAAGCAGGGGGCTGGGGCTATAGCTCAGTTGTAGAGCCCTTCCCTAGAATGCTTGAATTCTGTGTTTAATCCCCAGTATATATATAAATCTAGACAGTATCCTTGGGAGCTAAATCTTTGAATGTTTGAATCACATTAGTCAATGTAAAGCTGGTGCCCTTGAATGTTAGAGACAGTACTGCAATGAATTATAAAAAGTAAAAGAAAGCAGGTGAAATTAGTTTAAATATGTTTTATTTAACACTACATTCAGAATTTCTCACAATTGGGCACATKAGTGGTGCTTGCTTGTAGTCCAGCTACTCTGGAGGCTAAGGCAGGAGGATCATTTGAACCCAGTTCTAGGCTGGCTGGGCAACATAGCAAGACTGTGGCTAGGAAACAAAATACAACAAAATTCCAGCATATATTCAGTATAAAATCATTATTAATGAGATACTTTATAAAGTATCTATTCTTTTACTGAGTTCAAAAAAATCTTGTATCATACTAGCACTTCTAATTTGGACTAACCCCATTTCAGAGGTTCAGAGTCCACAAAAGTCTATGGGTTGGACAGCATAGGATTTGGGCTTTTGTTCTTTAATCCTTTTTAGCAGAGAACAGCACTTTACAAAAAAAAAAAAAGAAAAGAAAAGAGGGAGAGAACAAGAGAGAAATCTTACACAGAATCTCATTATATAAAACAGGGCCAATAGGGCCAGCCAGGCATGGTGGCTCAGGCCTGTAATCCCAGTGGCTCAGGAGGCTAAGACAGGAGGATTGTGAGTTCAAAGCCAGCCTCAGCAATGGCAAGGCACTAAGCGAGTCCGTGAGACCCTGTCTCTAAATAAAACACAAAATAGGGCTGGGGATGTAGCTCCATTCCCAAGTGCCCCCTGAGTTCAATCCCTGGTACAAATAAATAAATAAATAAATAAATAAATAAACAGGACCAGATTACCTCTCTCTACTTTCCTTCCTTGGTATTATTCTCCAAGTAACCCTTGCTTCTAGTATTTTGAGATCTCTTCTCCTGCACTAGGGAGCTATGCGAAGTTGGGGAAGGTGACAATACCTTGAATTTGGGCTTTACAAAATGCATGTATTATGTTATTCTTGTAGGTTACCACCATACCATGTGAGGCATACAGGGGTAACATATGTTCCACCACCAGTGAATAGGCTTAGTTCCAGGTTATCTGACTGCAGAATGTCATATCTCCCTTTCCTCCTCCATCCTATAGTCTACCTGGGCTAGACTTTCCAGGTGACCACCAGGCCGCAAGATAAACTGGCAATACCTCCTAACCCTAACACCAAGAGACCACCACCTTACCATCCTCATATTTGTAACACACACACACTGCCAGCAGGTTGGACACTTTGTTTCTTATTTTCTCTTAAACCTCATAATAATCCTGTAAGTACTAAGAATTATTACTTTTTTTTCTTGGTGTGGAACTGGGGATTGAACCAGGGCCACTCTACCACTGAGTTACATCTCCAATGMGTTTTATTTTGAGAAAGGGTCTCACTCAGTTGCCCAGGTTGGCCTGAACTCGTGATCCTCCTTCCTCAGTCTCCCAGGTAACTGGGGATCACAGGYATGCACCATTGCATCCAGTCATTATTGTTTTTAGATGAGGAAACTGAGGCCCAGAGAAGTTGGAAGAACTTGCCCAAAGATGCACAGTCAGGAAATAGTAGAGCTAGGACAGGAAGCCAGGATGCTTTTTTTTTTTTTTTTTTTTTCTCCTCCTTTTGGTGGTGCTGGGAATCATTCATGATTGATAAGAGCTCTACCACTGAGCTATACCCCTAGCCTGAAGCCAGGATCTTCATAGCTGTGCTATGTGCCAGAGCATGGGGTCTCCTCCACATTGGGAGTGATTCCACAGTGATATGGCACACTAAGATTTTCTGGAAATTAGACTTGTGTTCTTTATAGAGGCAGCTTGAGGTATTGAAAGAAAGATTTTAGAGTTGCATGCTGCCACTTACTCTGCCTGAGTCCTACTGACTTTAAGTGTAAAGGGGGATAATTTGAGGATTCACTCCCACTCTGTGCTATATGCCTAATCCAGCCCCTTTGTAAGTGGGAGGAAGGTTCTGTATGGAGAAGCTTCTTCCATTGGAAGCCCACATCAATCCCAGTATGTCTCTGGGCAGGCCCTTCATACTCCATTATCTTAAGCATGGTCCCTACCCACCCCCAGCAAGGGTAGTATGTGCATTTTCCAGGTTTCTTAGCTCTGAAGAGCCAGTCATCTGGGAATAGAAGGTGCAAAGTTGAAAAGGCCACAGGTTACACAAGATAGCCCCAAGGCGCCAGTTGAGAGAGACCAGAGATAGGAACAGGGTCTCAAGCCCAGCTGGGACCCAGTGGGTGCTTTCTAAGCACAGTTCATCCCAATTCAGGTTCAGCTCAGGAATGAAGAGGGAGGCTGCCCTGACATGTTTCCTGGGGTTGAGGGAATGACCTGCTTTCCAGAGTAGCAGACTGGGCAGAGGTGAGGCTTTAGGAACCTCCCTTGCCAGAAGAAGAGGCCAGCTGGACCTAGCACAGGACACAGCTAGGTCTACCCTGGCTGGCCCCACAGCACAAGGCAGCAGAAAGTTGGGGTTTGAGAGCTCAGGGTGAGAGGGCTTTTGATAAGCAGCTGCAGTGCCCCTGCAGTGTTTCCGCTCTCAGTGAGTGTCAGGAGAGGATTCCAAAAGTAGGACAGCACATTCTCTTCCCCATGCTCAAATTTCCTTGGTAACTACTAGGGTATCACTCAAATGCTCTTAGTTTGCACCAAAGTGATGTGGGGAAGCCAGGTCCAAGTGAGCAGCTAGACCTGGGCTGCATGCATCATACCAAAATTGTCTGCTTAGGCTGACTCTTAGTGACTCTTTTAAGACTCCCATCAAACTAAAATGGAACCCCCCTCCCCAATACAAATCAAGCTAAGCTGTTTTTCAAAGAAAGTGATTTTGTAGCTAAACCTGAAACCTGAACTTGAAAACCCAGTTGCTGGGTCATCTGCTTTGCTAGGAAGGCTGGACTAGATCCAGGTACACCAAGCATGCTGGTTGAAACACATGCTGGAGTCAAATCACTGGTGGCAACTGAGAGCATCCCCAAGTCCAGGCTGAACTGACACACTCCCACCCTTGTCTTGGCCCAGGTACCCTCTACCCCTACTCCCCACCTTCAGTGGGGCTTAGGCAGCCAAGCTGTGGTGGAGCCCCACCCTGCACAGCTGCAACTATTTATAGTTACATCCTTTCCCAGCCCTGTCTAAGCTCCCCAGGGCTCTGCTGCGTTTGCTCACTCTTTATTTCCCTGGGTTCCTTTGCTGAGAATTAAAATMTGGGGCATCAAGAAGTTCAGGAACATATTTTCCATAAAACACTGTACTGTTCTAACATTAAAGTCACCTTTTGCAGTTCTCTGGCTGGGGGAGCGGTAGAAGAAGGGGAAAGAAAACACCTGACACATTTTTCTTTTGGTATTTTTGGTTTGCAGTGCCTGCATCTACCTACAGCCCATCCCCAGGGGCCAATTACACTCCAACTCCTTACACCCCCTCTCCTACCCCAGCCTATACCCCTTCACCTGCCCCTACTTACACCCCTTCACCTGCTCCCACCTATTCCCCCTCTCCTGCTCCAGCCTATACCCCTTCACCTGCCCCAAACTATAACCCCACACCCTCAGCGGCCTATAGCGGGGGCCCAGCAGAGTCTGCCAGCCGTCCCCCCTGGGTGACAGATGACAACTTCTCTCAGAAGTTTGCTCCTGGCAAGAGTACTACGTCTATTAGCAAGCAGACCCTGCCCCGGGGTGCCCCAGCCTATACTCCGACAGGTCCCCAAGTGACCCCCCTTGCCAGAGGTACCGTCCAGAGAGCTGAGCGCTTCCCAGCCAGCAGCCGAACTCCACTGTGTGGCCACTGCAACAACGTCATCAGGTATGGTCCACTGTGGTGCTGGAAGGGTGGGCACATAGGTGCTTATCCATGATCTAAGCCACGCAGTGAGGGGGATGGKAGGACAGGTGTAGGACAGACAAAAGCTAGCTATACTGCAGGGCAGCCTTCTAACCCTCTGGCCCACCTGTTGGTCTGACTCTCTCTGAGCTTCAGCTTCCATACCTATGTGACACCCACATCCCTGGGGAGTTGGGAGGATTCCATGAGGTAAGTGGGTGAAGCTCCCAGCTTGGTGTCTGGTGCCAGGAGCTTYCCCTTGGGCTAAGGCCGGGTCCTGGGAATTGCCAGTCTTGTTGTCAGTAGGTTTATTGGGCATGTTGCAAGCTGGCTGACAGTGCTGRTTTTGACCTAGCTTTTCTTTGGGGTTGCTTCTGGGTCTTGCCACAGACAGGCCTGTGTTGCTCAGGGCATTGGTGGGCACTTGACTGAAATGAAATCAAATCACTTCAGGCTTAAAAGCCTGGGGTCACAGGTGATGCTTGTTTGAACATAGTGTGTTAATATGTTTGTGATCTGAGTTTGCATATATGAAAAATATATATGAATATATATGAAAATATATAAAAAATATATATAAATATATAAAAATATATATGAAAAATATGCTCTTCTTTTTATGTTTGTATACAGTATGTATTATGTGTATATATATATATATATATATATATATATATGCGTGTGTGTGTGTGTGTGTGCTTGGGATTGAACCCAGAGCCTTGTGCTACCATTAAACCACACACTCAACCCTCTTATTTAAAAATAAAGTGTCATATACTTGGTAGAGAATAATTAGAAAACATGGAAAAGTAAAAATAGAACATAAAATTTTCCTTATAGTCCCAGTGTTCTGACTACTAATCTGGAACTAGACTGTCAGTTTGTGTCCTGGGTCTACTACTTCCTGGCCCTGCAGCCTTGAATGCATTACTTAACCTCTCTGTGCCTCAGTTTCCTTCCCCAAAATAGGCATCATAATAGTTCCTACTTTACAGGATTAAAGATTATAAGTTAATAAATACAAAATTATTCTTGAATAGTGTCTGGCACAGAGTACTTAATAAATCTTAGCCATCAATAGCAGCGTCATTRCTTTTCTTATAATTACTGTGTTCAACTGAATTCAGTCATGTGCTTAGCCAGTTCCCTATGGTAGGTTCTCTCTATGGTAAGTGATGGGACAATGAACACCTTTCTACATAGAGCTTTCTCTGAATTTTGTATTATTTCATTAGAACAGCCACAAAAGTGGGATTTATGGGCTAAATGTATGAAGATTGTTGGGGTTCTTGAAATATTGGTTCCAAATTTTGAGGGTTTCTATTAGGTGCTGTTCTCTGCCTCCCCAGGGGTCCTTTTCTGGTAGCCATGGGCCGCTCCTGGCACCCAGAAGAGTTCAACTGTGCCTACTGCAAGACCTCCTTGGCAGATATGTGCTTTGTGGAGGAGCAGAACAATGTTTACTGTGAGCGGTGTTATGAGCAGTTCTTTGCCCCACTCTGTGCCAAGTGCAACACCAAAATCATGGGGGTAAGTGGACTACATTCTTCTCCTCTGACTCTTGTCTTTTCTGCAGCCCTGATCAACCTCCTCTCCCTTCCCTAAGATTGTGAAGTCCCACTGGAAGCCAAGAAGTTGTTGATAATAGAGAGAAAACAACTCCATTTCTGTCCTCAAAGGGAGTTGGTTTGCCACCAGTGAACCAGGGAGCAAATGAATTTGAAACAAGAGATGATTATATGTCTGTGCCACACAGCTTGAAGTGATGGGAGAACTTTGGCCAAGCAAGTTGTTGCTTCATAGCCCGGCCTTGCCAGCTCACCTGCATGTGGCCTTGACCCTTGATGCCCCTATGGTAAAGTGGCAGTAATAAGCAGGACCTCCTTCCCAGGCTTATGGGAAGATTAAGCATCACAGCTTATATAACAGTACGTAGAACGTGGAACCCAGCAAGCATTGGATACTAGGAACTCCCTCCTCTGCCTACCCTTGGTGTATCCAAGGCCTGGTTCCGGGCTCTTCTGCCCTGTTCCCTAATGGCTGCTTAGTCAGTGGCTGGGACCTGGTGATAAAGTTAAGCCTGGTTTAATTTCTCCCAAGGAACTTTCCATCCTGAGTCAATATTTTTCCCCCCAGGAAGTGATGCATGCCCTGAGGCAGACATGGCACACCACCTGCTTTGTCTGTGCAGCCTGCAAGAAGCCTTTTGGGAACAGTCTCTTCCACATGGAAGATGGAGAGCCCTATTGTGAGAAAGGTAGGAAACTGGGATATAGAGCAAATGCAGAGCAATGCAAGCAAGCAGGCAGGGGCCAAGCAGGTCACTAACTCCTGCCTGTATCCCTACATATCTGGCCATCAAGATTCTTTTATTTCTGGAAGAAAGGTTTTGATATTTTTGGTTTTTGCTGTACTTGGGATCAAACCCAGGGCCTGAAATGTGCTAAGCAAGGGCTCTACCAGTGAGCTACATCCCCAGCTCTTGATTTTGGTTTTGTTCTTAATGTCAAAATCATGCTAATATTACACAAAGAAAGTTAATTGAACTATTTCCCCTGCTCATTTGATTGTAACCTTCCAAGGAAAGGGAGGCAGAGTCTATAGCTTATTTTACACATTTAGCGTCTGATTCTTCCCTGCATCAAATGTATGAGTCACAAGTTGGCCTCATAATTGCTTGGGAAACCTTTCAGGTTGTTTTGACTTGGAGACCAGGTCTAGTCGGAAAAAAGCCTTAGGTCTGAACTTTGTCCTAGGTCCTATTCCTGATTCCACCTCAGGCTGGCTTTGAACCCTAAGTGAGTTACTAAAGCACTTTGAGCCTCACTGTCCCCATCTGTAAATCCCTACCTTAGAGCTGTGAAGAGGATGAAACCAGAGAGGGTATAAATCATGGAATGCGGGAGTGTCCCTTTCCTCTGTGTCTACCATCTTTATAAGACTTTGGTATTCTGTCAGTTTCCTTAAGTTCACTGGCTAAATTAGAGAATTTTTTGGTATCCCTATAAGTTCTATATGGTGTCTTGAAATRTGAAGTGAATTATTTTAAATTGAAAAGACACAGCACTATAAGATACTCAATGTTCCTGGCTACTGGCCTTTCACTCCCTCATTCTTCCATAGGCTGCTTCTTCAGGRAGAGACTTGGGGTGGGGTCCAACAAAGGGAAGTAGAGGTGAAAGTTAAGACAATAGCAACAGATTATCAGAAGAGGAAAAGGCAAGCATGCTGTGCTGATTATGAAGAATAACAGARCTGCAGTGACTGGCTGGGTAGCCAGTTTGAGGGCAAAAAGAGAAACACAGTAAATTACTTTCAAATCAGAAAGGAGAACTCATTACAGTTACTCCAAGGAAAAAGCAAAACAAAATAAAGCTTTTCCCCATGACAGTAAATTATAAAACAAACAAAAACTTCTTGGGTTCTTATGCTGCTGAATTCTCTTTCCTGCTCTAAAGTTAATTGAATGACTTTAAACCAACTTACTAAGTYGCTCTGTGTTTTGATTTCCACATCTGTAAAAGGGAGCCAGTAATGTTAGTCATTCCCCCTCTTATATGGTGTTGATTGGTAATTACTGAAAATGCTGTCAAACCTGTGCAAATCGCTACTATTCATCAACTAACAGCAATATAGTTTGGATAATTTGTGATAAGCCACAGTTTATGTTTGAGACTTATAAAAGAATGATAGATTTCTACTATCCCTGCTGCCTCTCTCCAAGCAACCTCCCAAAAAACGATTTTCAAAAATGTATTTTGAGTAAACAGTCCAGAAAAGTGATGGTCTAGTATTAGGGAAGATGGCTAGGAAGCAGATTCCCTTCAGATCTAGTTGCCCTGAGAGACGTAGATGGGCTGCTTCAGGCTTGGTGTGAACCTGGAAGAAGGGCTTATCTTTTCTGAGTGTTTCCTCATCCACACTACCTGCTTCAGAGGCTGCTATAAGGATTAACTGAGATAATGCATGCAAAACTCTTAGCAAACCGCCTACCCACAGTAAGTGGGCAACATGAGTGGTCCTTGAAACAGCTTAGGAGACCCATAGCTCTCTATGGAACACAATTTAGAATCCACTTTCTGGACTGGGGATGTAGCTCAGTGGTATAATTACCTGGAATGCTTGAAGCCTTGGGTTCAATCCCTACCACCACCAAAACCAAAACAAGTTCCACTTAAGCAATAAGCAATAGAATTAATTGTTGAAGGCAAGGCAGTAACACTAATTTTTATCTTAGAAAAAACACAATAAAATGAGTATGCTTTTTGAATATAATGAATGATTGATATTCTTAGGAAAAAGGTAAAGAAAAGAGAAGTAGGTGATCTATCAGATAAAGCCAAGCTTGGTTGGTTAACCTGCCTCAGAATTGGGCTTCTCGTGTGCCAGGCAAGTGCTCTATATCACTAAACTACAACCCCAACCCTCTGGTCATCATTTTTTGTCAACAACTTGTAAGAAGACACAGAAAGGAGTCTTGTCAAATTTGCTGATAAAGCCAGAATGTCAGGGTCTAGACTCAGAAAGACTTCTGTTAGGCTGCAAAGATAAAGTGAAAATTTTATCCAAAATACAAGTAAGACAGATTCGAAAGTCAACCCCCTCACATTTGAACCTGCACCTGAGTAGTTGCAAGTCTGGCAAAGCATCACAATCATGTAGGGAACCTTAAAAACTAGAGAGAAGATAAATCCCAGACCTACTCCAGACCTACAGAAGCAAAATCTTGTAAGATGTCCCRTTTGGGCTATTCTAATCTTCAGTTATGTTTAGGAATCAGAACTGTTTCTTTCTTTTTTATTGGTACCTGGGATTGAACTCAGGGGCACTCGACCACTGAGCCACATCCTCACACTATTTTGTATTTTATTTAGAGACAGAGTCTCACTGAGTTTAAGTTGCTTAGAGTCTCGCAATTGCTGAGGCTGGCTTTGAACTCACGATTCTCCTGTCTCAGCCTCCCAAGCCACTGGGATTACAGGTGTGTGACACCGTGCCCGGCCAGAACTGTTTCTTAAAGTGTGGTCTCAGGACCAGTGGCTTCAACATCATCTGAGAACTTGCTAGAAATAGAAATCTTTGAGCCCTACTCCCAATCTGTGAATCAGAAACTCGGAGTGTACAACTTGATGACCTGTGTTTTACCAAATCCTCCTTGTGATTCTAATGTTTGAGGACCATTGCTAGAGAAAAGTACTAAGTCCTTTTTCAACACAGAGCATTCCTAGTGTAATGGATGGAAATCTTTTTACAAAGTAAGATCCATTAAATGCAAAGGTATTAATTCAACTTGGGACATAAAATAATTAGTCAAAGAAAATTATGAAGACTTAAAAGAAGAAATAAATGAGGAGATAGATTATCTCCTGGATGGAAAGACCCATGCATGCACAAATTTAATTTGGAACTCATGACAATCTCCTTTTATAGAATAAATGAGGAAAAATACCAATAAAAATGTGTTAGAATCAGATATGTGCTACCAAATTTTCAAACAAAGTGGCAATTCTCACATCATTACAAAATCAAGTTTAAAATTTWAAAAATCATTCAGTAGGTAAGACTAGATATTTCAGAAATAGGCTCAAACTATTTTAAAAGCTTAATCTGTGAAAAACCTACAGGAGAGGGACTATTTAGTACATTAGCTTGAACCATTTCTTTGTTTTCTGTTCATCATTTATCTGTCAAATGTGTATTGAACGTGTACTTTGAGCCGTCCCCACTAAAGCTACTGTGCATAGTCCAGCATGGCAGGTCTCTGCCCTCAAAAACCTCAAGCAAACCGAATATCATGGGATATGCTGTGATATACRTGGACATTCAAGAATGATGGGCAGTTGTGCAGATGGATGGATGGATGGAAGGAAGGAAGGAGGGAAGGAAGGAAGGAAGATGGATGTGTAGATGAGTGAAAGGCTAAAGAAGGGAATTGCTCTAGAATGTCGTCTAATCTCTCTTGGTGGAGGTGGGGCATGAGAACTTCCCAGGATGAAGGCTTGACCCTAAAGATTACAGAGATTCAGGTAGAGAACATGGCGAGGTTTCCTAAAACTGGGACCTGTTTGATATAGAGACACAGAAGTGTAACAGAAAGAGCAGAGCACCTGGAAACTGGGAGTGATGAGAAATATGTCAGAAGGCGGGTACAGGGCTTGGCTCAAGTGGAGATGGATTAGCCAATACCCCACACTAGTAAGCTGCTATTGGGCATAGAGTAAACCCTGAACCTGTGGCAACTTTCTAAAGGGAGCAGAACCATGTTTGCTTAGCTCTGGTGAGGTGATACATTTCTGACTATTGAAGAGATTAAGTATTCTATCAGAGCCAAGACTGATGAATTGGGCTATACAAGAGCGTTTTTATGATAAAATATAATTAAGCAAAAGGAGAAGTCAGAGGTTAGAAAAAATATGCAAGAGATAAGTAAAATTTATCAAAGCTCAATGCCAAATAGATAAGGAGTTGGAGACAGAATAAAGTCATGCAAGGAGRTTAAACTTTAGAGTCCATTAGGCCAGGTGCTGCTTGTTACAACTGATGTGATGGAACCTTTCCAGTTGTTTCCTTATCCTTAAATGGGGAACATTACCTTTTCACAAAACTGCCATGAGAATTAAACAAGAAATACAGTGGGCACTCAAATAACCATGGTTCTCTTTCCTCCTTTCATCGTTTATGAAGATTTCCAAAAYAAGAGCCAACATTTTTAGTGTCTGTGCCAAATACTTCACATATTATCTTATTTAATCTGTTCAACAACCCTATGAGTTTGAAACTGTAATTATTTCCATTATATAGATGAGAAAGTTGAGGTCCTGAGAAGTTAGGTGACTTGCCTCATGCTTAAACAATTCCTTAATAGAGCTGGGATTTTGAACCCAGCTTGCTTTCTTCAGACTCCAGGTTTGTAACCCGAAAGACACAGTGCCTCTTAGTCCATGATCTGAGATAATGAACAGACCTACTGTCCACAAAGAGATGAACAGAAAATCACTGCAAGAAAAAGCCAACTGTGGCAGAGCTGTGGACAGATAAGTAACACTTCTGGGTGGTAGAGGAGTTGAAGTCTCCATAAAGGGGATGAAGCTTTTCTAGAAGACTCATGAAGAATTCTGCAACTGGTGTGGTAGAACTGCTGCCCCTGTGGCCCAGGGAGGACAACTGCTGTGGCAGAGGCACTCAGGGCCTGATGGATGGTGCCTTAGTCATGGGACTCTGGCTGGGCTCTTCATCCCTCTGAGGGGCTTTCACCTCATCCACAAAAACAAAACTAACACAGTAACAATTCAACTCTGACTTTTTTTTTTTTTTTTGTACTGTGGATTGAACCCAGGGGTGCTTTACCACTGAGTAATATCCCCAGTCATTTTAATTTTTTATTTTGAGACAAGGTCTTTCTAAGTTGCTGAGGGTTTTGCTAAATTGCTGAAGCTGGTCTCCAGCTTGAGCTCTTCCTGCCTTAGCCTTTCAGGTGGCTGGGATTACCACTGTGCCTGGCCCAAACTCACTTTTATAAGAAACCCACCTCKGCCATAATGAACCTATTCCTTCAATAATGACATTAATCTATTCATGAAAGCAGGGCCCTTATGCCCTAAACACCTCCTACGTGGCCCTATCTCCCAATTCTATGGCATTGGGGATTCAGTTTTCAACACATGAACTTTGGGGAACACATTCAAACCTCAGAACATCTATAAGAAAATGTTTAAATAAGCTACAAGCATTATACAAATAATATTTAGTAGTATAATCTCATTTGCTGAGGGGAATGGGAAGGAGAAYATGCTTTCCCTCAATAATATAGCTCAATTTTTTTTTCTATATTGGGGATTGAACTCAGGGTGCTCTATTATTGAGCTACATCTCAGCCCTTTTATTAAATTTTGAGACACAATTTGCTAACTGCAAGGCTGGCTTCAAATTTATGATCCTCTTTTCTCAGCCTATAGGTCACTGGGATTGCAGGTGCAACTGTGGACAGCTCAAAATATTTATTTATTTATTTATTTATTTATTTATTTATTTATTTATTCTGGAGATTTAACCCAGGGGCACTTTACTACTGAGCTGCATCCTCAGCCCTTTTTGCTTTTTATTTTTTTTATTTTTATTTTTTTATTTGAGTCAGGGTCTTGCTAAATTGCTTAGGRCCTCGCTAAGTTGCTGAGTCTGGCCTCAAACTTGTGATTCTCCTATCTTAGCCTCCCAARCCACTTGGATTACAGGAATGTGCCACTACACCTGGCTCAATTTTTTAAAAATTATAGATGGACACAATACCTTTATTTTATTTTATTTTATTTATTTTTTAATGCAGTGGCGGGGATCAAACTCAGTGCCTCACACATGCTAGGCAAGCGCTCTACCACTGAGCCACAGTTTTCATAGTAGTAAAAATATGTTGTCAATACAATGCCCAGTGATGGAAGAATGGTCAAGTAAAGAACATTCTATAACTTAAAAAATCTATAAATAACTGTTGGGAAATGTGGATTTTTTTTTTCTTCCTGGTATTGGGATTGATCTGTTTGGGCTATCAGAGGTGACAGAGGCAGAAGAGACAATCACCCAGCAAAAAGTTGATGACAATTCCCAAAAGTGTTTGCAGATCAAACCGGCATAAGATAGTGAATAAGCCTGAGTCTCCACAACATCAATGCAAATTACTGGAAAAAGAAAAAGAAATCAATCAAGAAACTAATATTTTATGTGATATGACAAGCTACCAATTAGGTTTCACCCACTTTCCCCAACCCACTGATTTRGGAGTTTTCCTCACCTTCTGCAGATGTGGCCAGATTGCTCCTTCCTGCCTTCCTGGGTTCCTGGTCCTCACTCTGCCTTTCATTTCAGACTACGTCAACCTGTTCAGCACCAAGTGTCATGGTTGTGATTTCCCCGTGGAAGCTGGTGACAAGTTTATTGAAGCCCTGGGGCATACCTGGCATGACACCTGCTTCATTTGTGCGGTACGTATTTAGCCCCGGGTTCCAGTGATCTGGGGTCCTGACTATCAGAAAGGAGTACATGAAGGCTGAATGACCAATCACCAATCTCCCTTGCAACTCCAGCATTCTGATGTTTTGATTATTTTTTAAAATTTTTCTTTATAGTTACAGATGGACAGCATGCCTTTATTTWATTTATTTTTTTTAATATGKTACTGAGGATTGAACACAGTGCCTCACACATGCTAGGCAAGTGCTCTGCCACTGAGCTATGGCTCCAGCCCTGTTTTGATTATTTTTAAAAGTTGGCAGATACCGTAATGCCTTGATATGCCATGTTTGAACAAAGTTTTATTACTATTGATTATTTAGAAACCAGTGTGGCTTTGTTACTTTCCACTTCACAAAGAGCAACAGAGTGCCCTAGGATTTGGAAACCAGTAGCTTGTTCCACCAGTAATGCTCTTTCCATCAGTGAGGGGCCAGCAAATGAGGCCTGAACTTAAGGGGACAGATGGCTTCTTAAGCTTATATGTTGCTTCAGTTATGATGAAGTGATTTGAGGGTTTTCCCTGAAATTTTCACCATGAACACCAGATTGGAGCTTATTGACTAGTCCTATGGAAAGCTGAGATAAGGTTTCTCTTAATAGAACCTTTAGAAAGCAGGACTGAGTTATCAYTTTATTTTCCTAAATGGTCCTGTTCTTGATATACAGCAGCCTGTAGATAAGCCTTAGATTAACTATTAACAGTGTATGATTTATTTCTGCCGAACAGCTGGGTCATTTTACTATGAGACTCACATTTTCCTTTAAAGGGCTTTGGTTCGAGGTGGGAACATGATGCTGAGCCTACAAATGTTTAGACCCTGAAGATGGAGATAGGAAATAATCATCCCTTACAAAGCCCTATAATATCAATTTATAATTGAACTAACTTTATTTGAGAAAAGAATGTGCTACCATAAATAAAAAACAAAACCAGAGTTCTTTAAGGTAGATCTTGGGAATGTATGAAATATCCATGCAGTTTAAACTTGAATAATCTCTTAGAGCTATAAGAGAACTATAAGACTGCTCAGTGTATTTGATCAAAGACATTCGATAGATCTTGTCCTTTGAAGAATAAGCATGGAGATTGTTAGGCCTTCCTGTAAACTAGCCCTGTGTGTCACTCACTGCCCCYTTGAGATATCACAAGATAATCTCTTGTGATACAGAACAATCCTAGTCATGAATTTTACTGCCATAAGCTCCTATTTTTCACTTCAAGACCTCTACTATTTGTGGGATGAATTGTATTCGCCCTGTGTATTACTTTGTTAGAGCTGCCATAATAAACCAATGACTTAAACAACAGAAATGTATTCTCTCACAGTCCAGGAGGCCAGAAGTCCAAAATCAAAGTGCAGAGAGGTGGCCACACCCTCTCTCCTAGCTTCTGGTGGTTGCCACAATTATTGCATTTCTTGGTTTGCAGCTACTCTCTGCCCCCAAGGCTGTGTCTGAATCTTTACATGTATATGTATCTGACTCTGTAGGTTCTCCTCTTCTTAAAAAGACACAGATCATATTGGACTAAGGGCCTATTTCAGTATGACCTCAATTTACATTTGAATTGTGTCCACAAAGACTATTTCCAAATAAGGTTGCTGCTGCATCCATGTGCTGGGAAGGCTGGAGGTACTGGGAATAGGACTTCAACATATAAATTTGTTTTATTTTGTTCAATACATGGTTTCCCTATGTTGCCCAGCCTGGCCTCCATCTCCTGGGCTTAGAAGATTCTCCTGCCTCAGCTCCCAAGTAACTGACACTACAGGCATGTGCTACTCTGCCCAGCTTCAACATATGAATTCTGAAGGACACAATTCAACTCTTTAACACTCTCATTTTACAGCTCTTTGAATAGATTCTTCAGTTGTCTTTTAAGGTCCTCTAAATACCTCAGGGCTTCTCTTTCTAAAAAGGACAATGGGTTGTCTCCTGCAGAGCTATGGTTCAGCCCAGACAAAGAACAGGACTCTCTGACCCTTACTTTCAACCCATGACTTGTATGATCCTGAGACACTGCTTGCAAGTTTGGCTACCTAACTTTTAGAAGGATCCAAAAGACTTGGAGAAATTTCAGGAAGACAGTGGCACAGAAGGCCTCTTATCCAAAGGCAGAATGATGAGAGGGCTGTGTTGCATGGAAAGGGAACCATGGCAAGGTGAGCAAGGGTCAGCTCCCTCAAGCCACAATAGCACAGGTCCTAGAAACCAGAAGAAGATACAARGCTTGAGGTGTTTCAGGCTGGTGTTATAAATGAGTTGTAGAGAATTAAGCCTAGTCAGATGTGAGAGACCTATGAGTCTGTCCAGTGGATTTGATCAAAGAAATTGAGTAGATCCATCCTTTAAAGAATAAGCAAGGAGATTGTTAGGCCTTCCTGTAAACTAGCCCTGTGTGTCACTCACTGCCCCCTTGAGATGTTGCAAAGAGGAACATGGTTTTGATCTTTGGAAGGAAATCTTTTAATCAGAAAACTTGAAGGGGTTTTTGTTGTTGTTGTTGTTGTTGTTGTTGTTTTGATCCTGTGCTGGGGATCAAACAGAGGGCTTTGTGCATGCTAGGTAGGTGCTTTACCACTGAGCCAAACCCTAACCTAGATTAGGGGGTAGTCTTCTTTCTATCACATTACATTCTCAAATGACCTTTAATGAACATGTATTTTCCTATAGCTTAAAAAGAAACTATTAAGAAAGAAGATCCAGACTAGTTCTTCCATTGATGTGTTGTTTTCTTAGATCTCAGGATACCACATTCAGACAAATTCAGTTGACCAAACATTCCCTGAGTTTGAAGAATACAAGAATATCCCAGAGCAAGTCTTCACCTTTATATAATCTAGAATCTTGAAATGGAGAATGAAGCTAACACACACAAGCAATTAAAGTACAGAACAAGACAATAATCTCTAAAATCCAAAGCATATGAAATGAAATCTGGGAGCTAAGAAGGTGGGTCAGGGTGAGATTAAGCTCCAGTTTGGCTTTGGCCCTTGAGTTCCAAAGGAAGGGATTTGGTCCTATCTTAGTGAGGAAAAATTCTTACTAGTCCCTCTTTTCTTCTAAGTCTRGTTGGTTTCTAGTCCCTTCCCACTGGTGTGGATATCAGGAGGATGTAGGAAGTGGTGTAACTTTTGGAGGTAATCTTGAAGCTGCCACAAATGGTCTATTTCACTGTCTTCACTCTGCTGAGACTATGATCAGCCCTGTCCATGGCCACTACTCCTCCACAGTGAGATCTGATGCCAGCTGACTCTGAGCCTTGGGGTTGGACCCTCCCTGCTCTCTCCCTGCTCTGGGCAGTCTGATGGCCTCCTCCACCATGATGTCACCTTGCACCAAGAAGACACTGAGCACAACTCACTATTTGTGTTCTAGCCCTGAGACCCATTTTATTCATCAGCCACCTGTGAGACTGTGTTTCTCTTTGTTCCTCAGTCTTCAGTCCCCCAACCCTCCCACCTGATTCATCCTGAAACTCTCACAAACAACCAGCATTGTCCCAGAACAGCCAGAGCTGTGAGGTATCAACTCACTCTAGAGCTGCCTTTATATCTCCCCTGAAACCCATTATCATGAGTTAGACCTTGTATGTTCACCTTCTTGGTCTTGTTTACAAGTTGTCACCAGCAACTTGAGGCATTCATAAGAACCTGGTTTATTAGTCAACTTTGCATTACTATAACCAATACCCAAGGCAGACCAACTTTATAAAGTATGGAGGTTTATTTAGCTCATGGCTTTTGAGATTCAAGGGCAGAGTACTGGCATTGTCTCAGCTCTGGTGAGGTTGTCTTGTAAAAACTAAGGTCCTAAGAGGAATATTTTAATCCCTTTCAAGGGCAAGCCCCAAACTGATCTAAAAACCTTCCATAAGATTCTACCTCTTAAAGGTCTCACCTCTTAATATCTTCACACCAAAGGCCAAGCTTCCAACATATGAATCTTTAGGAAACAAACCACATCCAAACCATAGTACCTGGTTACACCCATCATTGCTGCATTGACTAGTGACGTTATCAGATATTTTTTCASCTTATTGGTTTCCATGGCCCATTGGCAGCCATATACAACCCCAGGTATAATCTCCCCAGTGAGGATCATTGTGCCCCTTTCCTCTCCAACTCTCCTGGAATGAAGAGATACTCACTGACTCAAGCTCAGCTCAGAAGGATTATTTCTGTATCCTTATGTGTGGGGTTTGCATGATTTCTCTCTCTATCCCCATCTGTATACAGAGACCCCTGCAGTTCTAATGCCAGAGTCCTAGATGTGGTCCTCAACTGTTCTCCCCAGTAGGGATGCTCAGAGTCTTCTCTAAGGCTGGGGCCATCCTTAGAACATCCTGGAACATCCCAGTCAATGTGACCTCTTAGTCAATGCTGACATATTATCCTCCTGGGGCCAGGCTACATATTGGTAATCCAACAAACTTAGAGGGAAAATCTGCAAGCTCAGAACAATTCCAAGTAAACATAGCCCCTCTCTGCTATGGGGTGTGGGGAAAATTAGCCAGAAACTGGGTCCTTACAGCCCTGGGCATGATTCCCAGCTCTCCAGTTGACTAGGTCTCTGACTTAAGCAAGACATTTCTGCTCTCTGAGCCCATTTTTCAATTGTGAAATGGGGGAAAGGGGTACCTCACCCAAGAAGTTTGGGTGACAATTAAATGAGATCAAGTATATACAGAGTTTAGCATCCTGCTTCACCCATGACAGCCTCAACAAAGATCAATTAGTTCCCTTCCTTCTAGAATGTCTCCAGTCTCAAACTCAATTCATATATTGTCATCATGGGAATACATATTTTTTCCTGRTATTTTTCTCTACATACACCCTTCCTTATTTGATTTATCTTTTTTTCATGGTGACATTCCATTGGAAAAATAGACCATAAACATTTGTTTAATCATCTCCCTATTAAGAGAAAAAATTAATAGTTTTAGGTTTCTAGTTGAGCATACACTGCTTTCTTATTCTGTGCAGTTGTTTCTGCAATATTAAATTCTCCAGGGTGGCATTACTGGGTTACAGGGTAGGCACATCTTCTGGCTCTTATTCAATGTTGCTACACCCCCTGTAGAACATCAAGCTGATTTATGTGTCCCTAGCAATCTTTAAGGTCTATTCCCTTTTGGTATTGCTGATTTTTCATTGATTACTCCTCCTACTCCCACCCCAATTTTTGGCTAATGTCATGTAAGGTTAAGGATGAAAAGTCATGGAAGTTTTTTGTCTTACTTATTTTGGTACATTACTAGGTGTCCAGTGGTATCTCAGGAAGTTTATAATTTTTTATTGATGAGGGTAATCTTTTCTGATGTGTTTGTTAGTTTACTAATAGTATTTGCTTAGATGTTGCTCCTCTCTGTGGGTATCAACTTTTGAACTTGTATTGGTTCCTTATACACTTTGGATAGCATAAATTGGACATCTTCAACACATATATTCTATATTACATTAAGTTTAATTAATCTAATTTAAGTTTTATTCCATGTTCTTCTTTGGAAGTCTTCATTTTTATATAGTTCGTCTTATGTACTCTGCTTCAGTAATTAAGAATTCATAGTGGGAAGAAACAGGCAACRGCTTGTTCCCCCAGCTGCATATGACATTGCTTTCTTAAAGGGGTGACTGAAATCTGTTCCTGCCCCCTCCACCATGTTGGCTGCAAGGCCCCATCTCACATTGGTCTGTTCTCTGTCCCAGGTCTGCCATGTGAATCTGGAAGGGCAGCCATTCTACTCCAAGAAGGACAAGCCCCTGTGCAAGAAGCACGCACATGCCGTCAATGTGTAGGGAGCCAAGGGTGTCTGGTGCAGACGAGGCCCCAGGCTGCTCCTGCTGCTGGCAACGAAGGATTCGAGGAGGCTGATATTTCTTTTGGGGGAAAAGGGGGAAGAGAGGAAGCAATTGAGCTCTTTTGAAGTATAATTTTAGTCTTTTCTTCTGTACACATATCGTGTATTTGCATAGCTCAGACTAGAAGCCAAATGAAGATTCTAAACCAAGCTAGTAATTAATCCAAGACTGGAATTGCACTTCAAACGTTTAAGACAGGATTCCAAGAACTCAAAAGTGAAAAATGAAAAGCAGCTTTCCCAAAGTGATACACCTCCCTGCTGTCATTGGAGCAGGGACAGAGCTCAGAGCAGTCATGGAGAATCCGAAGCATTCTGTGTTCTGTAGAGCTCCTCTGGCAAACAAAACGAAGTGCCAAACAGTGCTTGCTGMAGGGTATTTTTAGAGCCATAACTGAGAGCTTGTTAGCTAAGACCAATTGGGCTTTCCTCGCCAAAAAAGGAAGTGTTATTCCATTACTAGCGTCATGGAGCTACCTCTGCACATCAGACTTCAGGCCGTGAACAAACTTGAAATGTCTAAAARGAGCCCAGATGTCGGAAGAGGTGTCTTCTGGGAGCCACTGGGCGGTTGACAAGGCTCCAGGAAGAGCTCTGGTTCATGTTGCTAACAGCCAAGAAGGATGGGCCCTTCAGCTCCCCTCTTTCAGTTTGAAATATCCCGTGTCCCTGGAAGGCTTAGCTCCTTTTTGAATTGTGAAGGAGAAGTGGAATTGGGTTTTTCCAGTTTAGCTTTGTAGTGTATGAGAGGAGAGTTTAAGAGATTCTGGGTTGCGTTTGACCCTTGTTTTGCTTTAAGAGATTCCTAAGCATGAGTGTCCTCTGCATGTRTTTCACTCCCTACCTGCAACTGCTCACTTATAATGTCTTCCTCAGCACCCCCTATCCCCCAAACAGGCTCCATGGTCTGTGGAAAGAAAAGACAGTGTCTGACACAGGATGGCAGAATAGGCTAACACGCCCAAACTGTGGGTGGGGAAGAGGAACCTTACTTTCTGCCAACCTCAGTAAGAACACATGAGCTGGCAGGATCTTCAGGTCTGCACCATCCTTTTCATACATATATTCCTTTAAATGCAGCACACTGATTATGTACAGTCATCTTGACGGCTGGGAGGAAAAGAAGGATGTTTTGCTGTTTTGGCCAATATTTTCAGAATGTATAAGGTGTATTGATCTAGCAGTTATTTAAGTATTTATTGAAATAGACTTGAGCCTTTAATTTCTTTGCAATATAGGTGATAGTTTGAGTTAAGTAATCATTACTTAAAGCTGTTTGGCAATAAAATGAGAAGCTTTGTTTCTGAGGTTGGAGACCAAATGCTCTCTTTCCTTTTTAGGAAACACTATTAAGATGTTCATAGAATATGGCATTGAAGCAAGCAGTTTGCATGGATATTTTGGATTGGAGCACAATATTTAGGCACTTTTCCTATTCTCTGCTAATGTCTCCTCACTCTTGTGTTGAATTTTCTCTTTGCAYGTTTGAAATGTTTTACAGAAATACATTAGGACTTTTTTTCTGCTGAGAACTTCCAGGGGACTGCTGTTCTACCAGAGTGTGTCTCTTCTCCCTGAGGGACAATGAAGCAGCTGGCCATGTCCCTAGCGGAAGCCCATACTTTGTCCAAGTGTGAGGCCATCGGCCCTTCCTGGCACCATCAGGGAGGAACATAAATGTGCTCCTACCAGAGAGCACTTTTTTTTCTTTTGATGCAGTAAAGAAAGTAAACACAAAGCACCAAGGAGAGTAAATTTTGCTGGAACAGCCTGGAAATTTTTCAGGAGATGCAAACAAGTACCTTGGAGCATTCTGTTATTCTTGGAAAGTTCAAATATACAGGGACAAGAAGCTTGCTGACTACATAGAAAGGCTCTAAGCAGGGTTTTTGTCCAAAAAATCATCTACTAAGTGATTAGCAACTGTTCTGGAGGAAAGAAAAACATTTTAGAGTTTCTAAAATCTTTTTTTAAAGGTTTTATGCAAGTGTTCATTAAAAAATGTGTGATCAACCAGGTGTGGTGGTACATGCCTGTAATCCCAGCTACCTGGGAAGCAGAGGCAGGAGAATCATAAGTTTAAGGCTAACCCTGTATTAAAATAAAAAATTAAAGGGTTGGGGATTTAGCTCAGTGAYAGAGTGCTCCTGGATTCAATCCCCAGTACTAGGGGAAAAAAAGAAAAAAGGGAAAAATGGAAATATCTTAAAGGACAGTTTCACCTTAGTCTTCTATTGAAAAATTTCTCCCACATTTCAGAGCTCAGGATCCTGAGACTCTTATTTACCAAAAAATAAGCAAACAAGCAATAAGACGTTTTTAAGGGTTGAGGGATATAGCCCAGTGATAGAGTACTTTGCTAGCATGTGCCAGGCCCTGGGTTTGATGCTCAGCACCACAAAACAAAACCAAACACAACCACCACCAAAAACAAACAAACAAAACAAACAAGCCTTAAAGATAGCAGAAAAAGGAGGTAGTGTTGAGTGTGGTTCACCTATTTTCTGTGAGTCTGGCGTAGTGTCAGGATTAAGACGGTGTAGTTCAAGTTAATATCATGGGTGTCCTACAACACCAAACATAACTTCTAATAGTTCATGGTAAGGAGCACACTGAATCTATAGTTCTTGACTGCTTTATATGACATTAACTTAACACTGATAAACATTAACTTTTTGTAAAGGAGTGACTTGTTCTGCAGTGTTTGTGTTAGGAATCTAGCTTTTATAATGTTAACTTTTCAACCTAAGATACCTTTCTTATTTTTTTTGTGTGTTTTCTTTCCCTGGGAGTGGGGGCGGGTAAGATTTCAGAAGTGGAATGTAGCATGTTAGAGGTGTGCACAAAACTATGTTTTTTGTTCATTTGCTTCTTTTTTGTTTTCGTTTTTTGGCCCGTGTGAATTCTACTTTTTAGTAAAATAAAACTCAAAAAAGGATGTGCAAATAACATATTTTTCTGTGTATAGTTTTTTCATGTGACACCAAAAGTAGTTTACTTCTAGATGGCCATAAATAACAGTCTGAGACAAAACTAAGCTTCCTATGAACAAGAAATATAGTTCACTTCTTCTATTGCTCAACAGAAGTTTAATCATCTTATTTTAACAGAGAAAGATTTATATGTAATACAAACATCTTGCATAAAGGAATTTACCAGGTATATAGTAAGCTAAAGACTAAGCCTTGCTTTGTRTTTTCACCAAGGTTTGTTTAGTTACTTGGTAGCCAAATATTTCAAATTCATTTATTTTTTATTCTGCTCTAAATGTCTTTATAGCTAGAAACGTAGCTATATTTCGTCCCATTTTGTTTGTTTTCAAATAAAGTCAGAGTAAAATCCTCATAACATTTAAAGAAAATAATGAAGRCCCTTCTGAAGTACCATGCTTAACAAAACCAGTTCATTCTTTTTTTTTTTTTTTAAAGAGAGAGTGGGAGAGGAGAGAGAGAGAGAGAATTTTTAATATTTATTTTTTAGTTCTCGGCGGACACAACATCTTTGTTGGTATGTGGTGCTGAGGATCGAACCTGGGCCGCACRCATGCCAGGCGAGCGCRCTACCRCTTGAGCCACATCCCCAGCCCCCAATTCATTCTTTTTTAAGATACTCTTTCTTAAGCATTTCATAAGGCTACATCACATACTACCAGAGAAATGAAAAGTTGTGCGCAATTGTGTACAATGACTCAAAATGCATTCTGCTGTCATATATACCTAATTAGAATAAATAAATAAACATTTTTTTTTAAAAGTAAAGGTATGGGCTGGGAGTGGGCTGCTCAATGGTAGAATGCTTGCCTAGTACATATGAGGCCCTAGACTCAACACCCAGCACTGAAAAAGAAAAAAATGGATGGAGGTGGGGGTTGTCTATATCTGATTTTAAACACCTGAATCAGAATTTGAAATAGCTATAAATTACCAAAAGAAATAAAATTTCATTATGTTACTACTTTTTTTTTCAGTACTAGGAATTGAACCAAGGGATATCTACCATTGAACTATATACATCTCCAGACCTTTCTAATTTTTACTTATATTATTGTTATTACTTTTCTAGTTGTCAGTGGACTCTTATTTTCTTTGTTTGTTTGTTTATATGTGGTGCTGAGAATCAAACCCAGTGCCTCACACATGCTAGACAAGCACACTACCACTGAGCTACAAACCCAGACCCTTTATTTTTTATTTGGAGACAGGTTCTTTCTAAGTTCTCYAGGCTGACCTCAAACTTGCAATCCTTCTGCTCAGCCTCCTGAGCTGCTGCTGGCTGCAACATTGTGGCCAGCTTTATTTTAGTACTTCTTAAAGCTACAACAGTTTTTAAACTAGACAATAGGGAGGGAAAGTTGGGTGTGGTGGTGTATGCTGACAATCCTAGCTACAGGAAGATCACAAGTCTGAGGCCAGTCTGGGCAACTTAGTGAGATCTTGTCTCAAAATAAAAAGGGCTGGGAATGTGACTCAGTGATAGAGTGCCCCTGGATTCAATCTACAGTATGGTCCAAAAAAAAAATAGCGAGGGAGAAAGGTTCATAGAATCATAGGACTTAAAATCGGAAGGAACCTAAGAGATCATCCAGGCATTTTCTGAATGTGGTAACTGAGGCCTGGAAAGGGAAGTGGCTTCTTCACTGTGCAAAATCAATTAGGAAGGCAGCCAGGTGCCGTAGAATAGACCTGGACTTTGACATGATAAGACCAGGGTTTAAATGGAGGATTTTTTATACTACTTGAGTGATACTGGAAGAGTCTCTCTAAACCTGGTTATAAATCTGAAAAAAATCGTGGAAACACCTACCCAGAGGGATATTTTGGAAATCAAATGCAACAACTTCTGGAAGAAAACTGAAATACAAATGTTAGTTATTATTGTCACTAGTACAATGGGGTCAGAAGCCAGAGTCCTCACTCCTGCCACATTTTCTTAATCCCTTCACTTTTCCTATCCTCAAAAATTTCACTGGGAAAACCAGCAGCTACAACAAATAATATATAAATAGTCCAGAAATATGAACCACACAGATCAAAATTTGATTTTGATCATTTTTGATCATTTTCCAAATTATTCTTCTACTAATCCTTCTTCACTGAGGATTTGTGGATGTAATTGTTTGTTCATTCTTTCAACAAATATTTATTTAGTATCTATTAGGTGATAGGTTTTGTTCTGGATCCTGAAAACAGGACAGTGAATTCAACAGATAAAAACCTCCACTTTCACCGTACTTACATTTTAGAGGGTAGGAATCAGTCAATCCAGATAGGTAAATATCATATGTTAGATTATTTCTAAGAGAAGAAATATTTTGACTATTTAAAGGTGTGACACTGGCATTAAGATAGACTTATCATGATAACRACATGAAGAATGGGTTCTGAATTGAATATGCCTGGGGAAGGGCCACATAGGCTTTTCAGAATATGGAACTCCAATTGGGAAACCCCCTCAAGTATTGGGTTAGGTTTTCCTGAGCTTTGGCTTTCCCAGGACAATCCCATTGTACAATAATCTTTCTCAGTGTTCCACTCACATTTAAACCACTCAGACAACCTGAGAAGTATAGATGCTTCTTGACTTACCATGGGTTTTGTTCCATTAAACTTATCATAATTTGAAAATATTGTAAACGAAAAATACACTGGATCCCCTAACCTACCCAACGTCACAACTTAGCAACACAGAACATTGTAGAGCATCTGTTGTTTTTCAGGGCTGACTAGGAGCTGTGGCTCCCTGTCACTGCCCTGCATGGAGAGAGGATTGCCCTGCCTATTTTAGATCATGAAAAGRTCCAAATTCAAAATACAAAGTACAGTTTCTACTGAGTTGCATGCCATATTTGTGCTTGTAAAGCTGAAAAATCCTAAGTCAAATCATCTAAATCAGGGACCATCAATATAATATTTCACACCACMAACATTCTGAGTGGCTATGCTCTGTTGTAGGTATGGAGGATGACAACAGAGATAAAGTCTCTGCTTTGGTAAAGTTTACACTTTAAAGGGAGGAGAAAGGCAATAAACAAGTAATACATAATCAGTAGAATCTGAGCTAGTGAGTGCTATGGGACAATAAAACAGAGCTCTGGGTTGATTCTGTTGCTTTTGATTGGGTGGTCAGAGAAGACCATTCTGAGAGGTGACATTTGAACTCAGGTCTCAATGAATGGAAGAAATCAGTTCAGCCAGAGGGAAAAAGGAAATATGAAAGCTTTAAGGGAATAATTATGAAGGMACAGGGTTTGAGAGCCTAGTTAAAGTGAGAGAAGGAGAAGGCAYAGAATGCTTGTTTGTATATTATTTATTTTCACTTGTTTTCCTATCCGATTTTTTTGTGAATGTGCAAGGTGCAAGAATTTGGAAATGTTGCAGGAGTGAGGGCTGTGGCTATACTGCAGCACGTCTTCAAAGTGCCTGCCGACTGCATAGAGGGGAAAAATGGCTGACTATAAATAAGATAAAGAACCTGACTTTTGATACAAGCATGAATTGTATTTTTCCTATAAGACTTTTCACTTGAGAAAATATTAAAGTTGCTCATCAAGCACTTCCAGATGGATAGGATAAAACTGCCAAGGTTGTAGTGCGGTTATCTAGAGTCTGGGAAACAGCAGTTCTGTGTGCATATGAAGTCTGGGAAACACGGATCTATGCTTTTACACACACCCACACACATTACACACTTTATGTTTTACATAATTGGAATCATACTGTATACACTGTTCTGAGATTTGCTTTCTTTAAAAAAAAGCATTTATTTTGTTTTTATGTTGTTTTGATTTTGCAATGTTGGGATTTGAAATCAGGCTTCACACATACTAGTAAGTGCTCTACCATTGAACCACACTTCCAGCCCCCAAACCATTTATTTTGTAACTA